AAGAAATTCTTCCTTATGTCCAGCCTGAAACGGTCTTGCAGTAGTTTATAACCATTTGACCTCATCATCTCTTGGTGCGCTCTGGTGAACAGACATTCCCCCAGATACTGGTGGTCACCCCTAATAAACTTATAGTGTGTATTAGGCAAGTACTTTTCCCCCACAATACTTTGTTCATCACATTAGACTTTGTCCTCAAAACCTATTGTAGCAATTGATCTTCTAGTATTAACAGGAGCAAACTCATAATGCTGTAATAAGGTTTCCCGTATAAACCCTTTGTTTCAGTTGCTCGTTGCATTGTCAATGCAGCATTTTGGGATTTTAGAAAAGGACGATTTCCTTGCTTGTAGATCCTGTTCTCCAAAAATATGCTTGAGTAGATATCTCGCGTTTTTTCTCCCCAGAGATGTGAGTTCTACAGTTTCTTTTTGATTCCATCTTTTTTAATATATGTGGGAGCAAATTTATGATTTCCATTTTGAAAGGCATTGATATTTGGAGCACAGAGGTGCCTGTGTTCCATAGAAGAGGTTTCACATAGGAAGGTAAACAAAGGTGTGCTGATATGCTGTTGTAGTGTGGAGCAACCATTAATAACAAAAAAAAAAATCTTTTATGTATTCTTAGCATAAATATTTTTTCAAGCTGTTAAAATACTATATATTTGTGATACTTTCACCTGTCTTGATTTTATAGTGAAAATTATGTTAACCGCTCAAGGTTCCTGTATGCTCAGACCCTCAAAAGGCCTGCAAATAGAATTGATCTTCTAGGATAGATGGAGTGGAATTGTATTCAGTAAATCTGGAGTTAATTCAGTGTTTAGGATTGATCAGACAGCAAGAAATAATTTACAATGGAGCATTCAAATAATACACGGATGGTCAGAAACTCTAGTGATTGGAAAGATTGTCTAAGTGGCTCTTTGTACAGATTTCATTATATTATTGTTCCAAATAAACTTCAATTACATTGCAAATGTAAATTTTGTTTTGTATAAAATCGCAAGTACTGTGAGGTTTTCTTGCCTACTAGAAATGGCATCTTACCAAGTGTTTCTTCTAATCAGGAAATAGCACACTCCCAGATAAAACAAGAAGCAGTACAGCTGTATCAAAAACTTCATGGCCTTGAAGAACATCGGGATCAAATGGTTGCTGAAGACAGGAGTATGGGATCTCCACAGGAAGAGAGAGAGAGATTACTGAAACAGGTAGGAAAAAGATGATTATTATATCTCTTATTTGCAGGGCTTTATCATGCCTTAGAAACAGTGAATGGAAATGAGCTAGATGTCTGGCCTTGGTTCTGGACCTTTTTTTTCTAGTTTGAGCAGCTCAGAGGGACTGAAGCTGACTGCAGCAGCTCAATTAAGAATTAGCCAGAGGGGATGGAACTCTCAGATAATATGTAACTGTGAGAATTACCTTCTCTGCCAATTGTCATGACTTTGGCTTAGGGGATTTGTGAGGGGAAAAGGGAGCATGTTTGGTTAAGGAAATTAATTTAATTTTTATAACTCAGACCTAAGAACATCAGTTTGTTCCAGAGGAATAAATGGTGTTACTAATTATGGGCTTATTCTTGTATCCTTCTGTAGAATTCCTACAAACATGGTCCCATTGATTTAAATGCTTCTTATATGCATGTGAAAGTATTAATCACGGAGTGGACTCTAAAGAGCATAATTGACATTTAAACTGTGAATTGCAGAAGGAAGGAAAGCACTCTGAGGAAACAGAAATGATGACATTATTAAATTACACAATCCCTCCTTTCCAACGTAAATCAGCCATTGAACCTCTATTCATAGTAGTTAATTATCTGGATGTTACACTTCTTTTAGATTACTTGTCTGTCTCTCTTGGCCTTTAGATGTTATTTCCTATATACATACATTTATTATACCTTTTTATAGGTCAAAGAAGATAACCAAGAAATAGCAAGTATGGAAAGGCAGTGAGTGTTTTTTTTCATATTGTTCTTATATACCCTGCTCCTGCAAATGTGTTTATGTGGCTTCCTTTGCATGTGTGGGATCCTACATGGTGTAAGAAAGCTGAGCTAGAGTTGGATATTTGATTGGTCAAATAAAGTTTGGTCAATTGACTAGTGAAATATTGGGCAAAAATCGTAAAAATTGCCAATATTTCTAAATAATACATAGAACGAGCACTAATTTTCCATTAAGGAATGTGTCAAAAAACAATAAAAAAACATATTTCTGTCAAGAAAAACTACAACAAACTTTATTTTTTTGTAAAATTGTTATAATCTTTGACCAGTCAAAAATATGCAGTCAGTTGACTAGTCAATTGACAATATTTGACAGGTCATTTGACTGGCTTACCTACCGTGGTCTGAGCATGCAACTGAGAACGAAATTCTATCTCTAGCTCTCACACAGAATCTGTCTACAAAGTCATTTTGAAAACTTCTAAAAGGTGAAGCTTTGTTTCAGGAAATGAAATCCTGGTTCCCTTTAGCGCTGCCACAAGTTTTGGAAGGTCAGCACAAATTAATGATCACTCAGAACAGGTATAGAGTAGTGTAGATATTTATAATAGTATATGTTCTCTCCTTTATTACTTTTTGATGGACAGAGAATTCGTTAACATTACTGACAATCAAATACTATTATTGTGTCTAACTTAGCACTCTTTTAAATAAATGAAATATCAAAACTATTATTTTGGGCCCTCTACCAACTCAAGCAGACATCACTCTAAGGCTTTAAATTTGAGTCCCATTTTGAAGAGTATTTTTTAAAACAAAAGCTAAGATTTTAGAAAACAACTACCATGTCCAAGGTCCTTTACCTGATTTGCTTTGTATTCTACCCCCTTGCAGATGTTTTATAAACATCATGAAGTATTAAATTAAGCAATAACATGTAATGAAATATGTAGTTACTGTGCAGTCAGTTAAAAGTAGTGCGATAATTGATCTGCATGTTCTGATTCTTGGTCTGTACAAGTTCATTTATGATGACCTACAGATAATTTCTTGAATCTCCTCTGTTTTGGGGATGTTAATTATACCTATGTTGCTCTAAGGACATTGGCAGACAAGGTTCTTTGAATAAATGTGATATCTTTTATTAGTCCAACTAAATAATTGGAAAAATTGTTCATTACATTTTTTTGGACACAGACGCTCTTTTTTTAGGCATAGAGAGAGTCTGCTGGTGTTTGTGTATTCTCTTGGGTGGAATAGAAGCGTAAGCTAATATGCAAAATGGAGGGTGGAACACAAAAGTGGGGAATGTTTGCCAGTGACAAAATGTAGCTGGTAAAATGTAAAGAGGTTACCTGAGGTTACCGGATGGCAGGCAAGTTATAATGTGCCATAAATCGAATATCTATATTTAGTCAGTAATTTTTTGTATCCAGTAGATTTATGAAATGAAGTTCATAGGCTTGTCTATGAAAGGTGTTTTGTAAATTCCATTTGAGTATTAGAACTGAGAGATTGGAGAGTGGTTGTCTTGTGAGAAGTGTGCTGCCACAGGTAAGTGGATATTTTTCTTTGATAGATTTTCAGTGTGCGTTCATTCTGGCATGCAGTTGTTCTTTAGGTTCTCCTATGTAGTTTCCATCAAGGCATTCACTGGATGAGATATATTACATTTCTGAAGTTGTAGGTGTAAGATCCAGGAATGGTGATGGTTCTTTTGTGGGGTGTAGTTATTGTGGGAGTGGTTTAGATGTGTTGGCAAGTTTTACATTTCTTGTCCCAGTATGGTCCGAATCCAGTCAGTATGCTTTGGGCCATATGATGTTTGCTTCTGGAACTGAGCTTGGCAATGTTCAGTGCTTGTTTAAACGCTAGGGTGGGTGGTTCTGGAAAGATCTCTTTAAGAATTGGGTCTTCTTCCAGTATGGGTTGCAAGTGTCTGAGGATTTTCCATATAGATTCTTTGTTGAGTGACAAAGAGAATGGTGAAATACAAACCACCATATACAAGAAACCCACCGAACATATATTTAAAACAAAAAATACCCGATTACCTGTGGGTACTTCTTTCAAGACAACCACTCTCTCTCCAGTTTCTCAGTTCGAATCCTCAGAGAGAATCTACAAAACACCTTTTGTGGATGAGCCTACAACCTTCACTTCATAAATCTACTGGATACAAAAAAATGTGGACTGAATATTGGATTTATGGCACATTATAACCTCCCTGCCATCTGGTAACCCCAGGTAACTTCTTTACATTTTACCAGCTACATTTTATCACTGGTCAACATTCCTCTCTTTTTTATTCCACCCCCACAACATATCTGTCTTGCACCCATTAATTCCCATCCCCTCTGATTTTCCCTCTCATACATTTGCATTTTCCCAGACCTGCATTTTTCACATTGGCTTATGCTTCTATGCCACCCAAGAGAGTACACAAACACCAGCAGACTCTCCTTATAGTTTCATAGTTGATAGGGTCAGAAGGGACCTGAGCA